CGGACGGACGGACGGACGGACGGACGGACGGACGGACGGACGGACGGACGGACAACCGGACGGACGGACGATCATGCGATTCTACAAGCTGCATCTGACTATGTCAGATGAGCTAAAAATATGGTACTGTATTCCCACCTTTCAGTTTCAGTAACGTATAAATTGGGTAGTGGGTTCAGTAATAAACGAAATAAAAGAAAGTACCGGTAACATAAAACAATCAATGAATCACATCACGGTGCGTAAAGCTGATACTGATAGGGTCTATGTCACCCGGGGTACTGCCGGAACGTACCCTGGGTACGTTCCGGTGGTACTATATTATATGCCGGACCGTACCTAGCCTACTCCACTAACGAGTCTAGGGACTCGCCTACGCATACTCCCTAACCCTAACCCGAAGCCTAACCCTAAACCTAATCCTAACCCCAACCCTAATCCTAACCCTAACCATATCAAATAGTGACCAGGGTACGTTCTGGTATACCGGACCGTACCCAGGGTACGTTCCGGCAGTACCCTGGGGGACATAGACCCTATGACTATGAGCGTTAGGCAACGAATATTTACACTAGGGCCTAGACACAGGCACTTGAAGCATATCAACTGTAAGCGCACGGCACCGCCATTGCGCGTACACACACACATATATAACTCAATATATATGTGTTAGTGTACGCGCAATGGCGGTGCCGTGCGCTTACAGTTGATATGCTTCAAGTGCCTGTGGGCCTAGGGGTGTTTACTCTGACTCTTAGAGTTAGACTTATATTATTGCTGGCTGTAAATGTAATACATGCCATACATTTTGACTACAATACTCACCCTTCTTTGCCTTTTCTTGTGGAATATTCTGCGCTCTTAGTCGCTGATCAAGGATGTATATCATCTCGCCTCCTAAATTTATGAAAAGCAGTGGCAATGTGTGCAGAGACATCGCGGCACTGCAAATATGCACAAAATCCAGTATGAAAAAGTGGGTATTAACGAGACGGATGGTCACATGTTTGTTTACAACTAGCTCGCTCGCAACCGTGAACACCGCAGCGTCATACATAAAGTACCCGCGTACCCGCGTGTACGTGCGTGTATCTGCGTGCACGTGTGTGTATCTCCGTGTACCCGCGTGTACGTGCGTGTATCTGCGTGTACGTGTACGTGCGTGTATCCGCGTGTACCCGCGTGTACGTGCGTGTATCTCCGTGTACCCGCGTGTACGTGCGTGTATCTGGGTGTACGTGCGTGTACCCGCGTGTACGTGCGTGTATCTCCGTGTACCCGCGTGTACGTGCGTGTATCTGCGTGTACGTGTACGTGCGTGTATCTCCGTGTACCCGCGTGTACGTGCGTGTATCTGCGTGTACGTGTACGTGCGTGTATCTCCGTGTACCCGCGTGTACGTGCGTGTATCTGCGTGTACGTGTACGTGCGTGTATCTCCGTGTACCCGCGTGTACGTGCGTGTATCTGCGTGTA